GGCGAGGGAATCGCGGGTATAGCATCAAGAACCCAAAATCAAAGAGCGAAACATAAAGTTTACGTAAGAAAAAAGGGAACGAGTTAACAACGACGAAGATGCAAAGTAAACAAACATACTGTACAAAAAACGAACCAGACGCAAAGAACAAAAAATGGTAGGCGGGGTAAGTATCAAACAATAGAGTGAAAGGGATAACCGGGTTGAAGCGGCATAATTCGGAGGGTAAATAGCGGTGCACAGAAATAGGGATGGGAGAGTGGGAGAACCACAGGAGTATGGGTATAACAAACACGTTCGTTAGGACATAAGTTAGCTTTCGGTGAGGGAAAGGTCGTTAATGAATTGCAGGACAGAAAACGCAAACGTTCTACTAATTAGCCTTCGCTTTGCCGTTCGCGGATGTATCTCCGTTAGGCTCATCTCCTTCATTCTCGCTATCGTTGGCGCTGGGGACCTCTCCCCATGCAGAACTTCGTCGATTTGCTCGCCCTGGCGCAGTGGACATAGAAATGTAGCTCATTGTATTGCCTCCAACACTTCCAGCTGCGCTATCATTCCTCTGGTGGTGTGAATTATGGCCGCTTGTAACGCTGCCTGTATCACCCAGCTGTGACCTTCCAGGTTGATAGCTAGTCCGCTCTCCCGAGGTAGGTCCGGAATATGAATATACACTACCCCGTTCAGTACCGGATAGACCAGGACGGTTCAACGCTCCCGGCGCGTTGGGGATTGGTGAATTGGATGGCTCTCCTCCAGGGACACCTATATTACCCATATTGCCACTTAGAACGCTTAAAGGTAAACTCTCACGGCTGCCACTGAATATCGAAGATGGAGCCAAACCACGAACAGAAGCGTTGGTATCGAGGGAATTGCGACGGTGGCGTTTGGAGGATGATGCCAGTGTCAAAACAGATGCATTATCCGTCAGAAGGTTATTTGCCGTTGCAGAATTGTATGTTGTTGGATGGGGAGCAAGATGAGAAGGCACTGCTGTAACGGGTGACATAGGAAACTGATGGCTAAACTGGAGATTGGTTTGCTGGTTGGCACTGTAAGAAGCGTTGTGGCCAAAAACCGCTCCATGGACTTGGTTTGATGGGGCGGCGGATTGGACGGTCGTAAGCGTTGTGGTAAGTGATCGAACGGAGGGTGCGGGTGAGGAAAATGTACTCCCTTCGCCTCCGCCTTGTGACCCCACTGCCCAGCCCGTAGTTGCCATTGTACCAGCCTTAGAATTGGCAGCATCTGACATAGTAGTGTCCGCATTTGTGGAGAGAGTAGGAGCAGCAGATTTCGTGCCCAGAGTCGAAGCAAGTTGCTCCATACAAGGTTCGGAAAACGAAGGTTCTGAACGGGAAAGATGGTTGGGTCGGTCGCTGGTAGGTTCAGAGAAAGATAGGTGACCATTATCCATATTGTTAACATTCCCTGAGAGTGGATATGAGTTGTTTTTGAGATGGTTGCCCTTTTTGCACTTCAGCGCACTGGGGGAACCATGATATTTGTTCGATGAGCTAGGATAAGAAGATCCAGACGAGTTCTTGAGGCTGGCAAGGCGCTTCATCCAATTTGCGAAGGGGCGGCGACGGCCATGTCGATCTTGAATAACCTGTGAGCAAAAAGCGATAGAATAATAACTTAAAAAAGTAACTGACGGATGACGAGCAATCAAAACCTACCATGTGGCCGCGAGGATACTTCAGTCGAAGCCATCTGGTCGAGGTGAATAGTGCGCCTCAACGCTCGCAATCCGCAACCCAAGCAACCCAGCGGTAATCGCGAGGGAACTGGATATCGAGACGAGGGGCGCCTCGCAGTATGATAATCTCGAGGCAAAGAATCCACCTGCCTGATACCTACTAGTACCTGGCTGACACCAAACGAAAGAGGATAGGTAGTCAGTCTCTAAGCTCTCTTCTGTGAATCTATGCTGGGAATCCCCCCCACGCCCAAGTATCGGGGACGTCGTATATTGTTGGTCCTATGGACGTGGATGCTGCTGGTGTTGCAGGTCGAGGTTGACGGTTGAAGCTGGCGCCGTCGAAGTCGTCATGACCAGGTCTTACCTCATCTGCGTTAACGTAACTAGTTAACTATTAGTTAACTAATTTATAACTGATTCGCTTCATGCGCCACGTGCCTGGGAAGCTAGCATGCTCAGCCACCAGAATCTTTCTACTATCAAAATCCTGCAGATAGTCTGAGGGGAAACTGTTATATTTTTTGTGAGATGGACTCTCTTGGTTTATGCAACAGGCATGCTACTGAATAAGGGAGCTCTTGAGCCGGTTACTTTTTTGAACCACGCCGCCACAGATCAATCCGTACTATTTGTCACATGTCGTATGTCACATGACATGACATATATAGCAACCTTGGAACCAATATCGACGAATCCAGTCCATACTGCCTGGAACTTCGCCCGGAGCTTCCAGCTTATTGTCCTGGGAAACTTTGTCCTCCCAGCGTACTGCGCTTTGCTGAACTATGGGAAATACACCCCCGGACGACAATGCGGCTTCCCCTGCTGCAACTCCGTGATTCGGGCTCTGCTCTGAGGAAAGAGAGGAAGACTCCACGTTTCGGAGTCTATATCCTGACTCCTGATACCTGCTTAGAAACGGCGAGCCAGAGTAAACCAAGACCCCATCAGAAACTTAGTCATTCTACAGCCATACATAGTGATTGTCTGCCATGAACTCGGGAACTCCGTCCATCCAACCTTTGCCCCCTGAGGCCATCGCCCAATTGACATCCTCGATAGCCATATCACACCTCAATGGAGTGGTCTTGGAGCTTCTGAAGAATTCGTTAGATGCTGGCGCCAAAACTGTTTCTATCAATGTAGACTTCCCAAAAGGTGGCTGTGTCGTGGAAGACGATGGGCACGGAATATTGCCCGCTGAGTTCCTGGAAGGCAGCAATCTTGCCAAACTACATCGTGCGTGGTTCATCACAATGAGGCCTTCTACGTACCTCTTGCACTAACAAAGGTGTGCAGATTCCTCCAAATTCAACAGCCAGCATGAGGTGTATGGCCGGAAAGGCGTGTTTCTTGCCTCTCTCGTGTCACTTGCTTTGGTTACTATAACCTCTCGCCACGAATCTGTGTCAACGACAAATACTGTGATGTATCACCACGCAAAGGCGATTTCGATACTGATGCCGGCCCCATTGCAACATGAGATCAATTCGCCTGACCATGGAACTAGAGTTACAGTTACTGACCTATTCGGGAATCTTCCCGTCCGTGTGAAACATCGGGCGCTCTCTCTGAGAACGAGTCAGGACCTAGATAGAGAATGGGATGCCTTGAAACACATCCTTACAGCTATGCTTCTCGCCTTCCAGAAACGCGTGAAACTTGTGGTGTCCGACTCAACGAAAACAAAAAAACTTGTTATTCGAGCAAGCGACCCGCCGATTGATAATTCCTCTGGGACGCTTGACCTGGCTCGAATTCGTCCAATTCTGATGCAGGCTGGCTATGTCATGGCAAGGGATTTTCAATCGTGGGTTACTGCATCTGCTCGCACTTCGGGAATTGAGGTTCAATCTGCAATATCTCTTCAACCTGCTCCAACAAAACAAGTCCAGTTCATCTCCTTTGGAATAAATCCGATTTTTCCCCAATCGAATGCAAACGTTCTATATAATGAGGTTAATCGGCTATTCTCCCTTTCGAGGTTTGGGATTGTTGATGGTTCACCCCTTATCACGGATGGGCTAGAAGGGCTTCATCTGCAAGGCGATGACAGAGCAAGTAATAAAAAGGCACCAAGCGGAAGAGGTCGGTATATGGGCAAAAGTATTAACAAATGGCCAATGTTTTGTATTCGAATAGACCTAGAAGAGCGCGGCAAAGCTATCGATAGGATGGATGATTCTCTCGAAACCGGCAAGACTCTCCAATCGGTTTTGGATGTGTTGGTGGCCATGATACAAAAATTTCTGGAAGAGTATCATTTTCTACCCCGGTCAGGAGCAGGTACCAAACGGAGTCACCAGCCGCAATCTCCCACAAGTCCAGTAGAACATCAAGTTGTAAAACGCCCCAGGAGTGCTGCACCAACGTTCGCTTCACCCCTTGCTTCCGCTGTTAGCGGGAACACCGAAGAACTCTTTGACACCCGAATCAAGCTTCCCGTATTTGTCCACTCGACACACCATATGCTCCCTCCTAAAACCAAGGACTTCGGAAGCTGGTCACGGATTAAAAGTAGTCGCGAAGGCGGATTTGACGAGATATGCTCTGGTTTGTCCTGCGGAGAAGCGGCTTCAATCTCGAATTTTGCCATGAAAAGCCAAACTGAGCGTGATAGAGGGGACTCGTATTCGTCTCTCGCAACGCCTTCACCCTCTGGTGTCCAGCCTGGTGAGCCTTTAGATAGCCTAATGAATGGTGATCATTACAGGAAGTCCGCCAGTCAAGATGGAGCTGGAAATCCAGGCTTAGAAAGCCTCGAAACTGAAAAAATTGATGAGTTGAAGGACGATGTTTTACACTGGATAGATCCTATCACGAAGAAGGAAATATTAATCAACAACAGGACGGGCCAGACTATTTCTAACCCAAAACAACCGCTTGCATCGATGCGAGGGGCAAATGGTATTCAAACGGCAGGGGGCCTTGATCGCCACAGCTCTCCAAGAAGCTCGGCGTCACGTCCAAATTTGTGGATTGAATCACTTCTTAAGGAATGGGAGAATCCAACGTTCCGGCGATCTGAGCACCCAGTCGCAACGGCGTTTGAAGTTCCAGGTCTGCGTCCCGGGGTCTCAAACAAACATCTCCTATCAGGAGCGGGAGATTTTGGGTTCATGCCATCTACCTCTAGGTTCAGCGGGCGGTTGACGAAAGAAGGGCTGCGGAAATCACAACTGATAGCTCAAGTGGACAATAAATTTTTGCTTTTGAAACTGCCAGCTTTCTGCAAGGAAAATAACGACTATAGCCAGCAAAACTTGGTCCTTGTCGACCAACATGCAGCCGATGAAAGATGCCGGGTTGAGCAACTTTTCGACGAACTCTGCGGTACCACAACTGCGACACCAGACTCGTCGTCATTCTGTCGAGGTCGAGTAAATACAGCATCTTTGCCGAAGCCAATTTCATTCCAGGTATCACCCCAAGAAGGTGAATTGCTCAAGTCTCATTCCGGCTACTTCGAATCCTGGGGTTGCTACTATTCATTGTCTAATAGCGAAAGAAATTATCACACGGTTACGGTTGACAAGCTTCCAGCCCTTATTGCCGAACGCTGTAGACTAGAACCTCAACTTGCCATAGACCTTCTACGCGGCGAAATTTGGGACCGGAAAGATCATGGAAGAAGAGACGAGACGTCTTTCTCCCAGACGCTTTCATCCGGTAATCCAGAAGCAGGTAATTCCGAAAATTCACAAGGCGAGGCACCGCCTACCATTGCGCGTCAATCTTGGCTAGAGCGGATTAGTGACTGTCCCAAGGCTATTGTTGACCTGCTCAACTCACGCGCTTGCAGAAGCTCTATCATGTTCAACGATATTCTGAGTCCGGCTGAATGCCAAAATCTGATCTCTAAGCTTGCACTCTGCGCTTTTCCATTTCAGTGCGCTCATGGACGCCCATCCATGATTCCGATTGTGAGCTTGGGTTCTAGTTCGTCATCCGACCAAACCTCCCTAGCCGAAACCCATTCAGGGCTTAATTTTATATCTTATTTTGGAAACATTGTTGGTAATGCTCCGGCAACTAGCATGGATTTGCCCTTCATGGAAGCTTTTAAGGTATGGAAACCTAATGTTACATAAAACATATATGTATTTTGGACTTCATTCTTTTGTAGATTTTTGGGCAATCGGCTTCCTCATTATACCCTGGTCTAGTTTTGTATTTTTATTGTTGGAGAAACAAACATCTTTTCGGAGCTCAAATAGGAGATTCTGTATGAGGCCTGATATCCACATTCCGGCTTTTGCTAAGCTGTCCATCTGGATAACTTGCTTCCGTAAAAACAAGGTTATTGACGACGTAAATCCAATTTTTCCTTCCAGCATCATAGGCTCTAATACCCATATGTGCAGCATCTAAAATATTCGCGTTGCGTGTACGTTTCAAAATATCTGCCTATTTTTTTTTTTTCCTGCTTCAACCGATTTTCTCGACACATTGAAACCCATGCGACTGTGCAGGCAGTTCTTTCAGCAAAGCGCGAAATATGATATCTAAAGTGGTGAGGTATTGGGATTGGAGGCTCATACAAGAAGATACTCGCACCTAAGGTTTCGACAACAGAGTACTCGATCACATTCTTCACCAATCTGGGTGCAGAAAGCACCGCTTGCGGCTACTCTCCAATTCGCAGGAAACGGGTAGACCGAGCTTAAGAAGCCTGTATAGGACTTGTATGACGCTGATGTGCCTAGCACAGCGGACAGGAGGAAGAGCAATATGAGGCCAAATGGCACACTCGATGGGGCTATCAATGAAGATCGGAGGTCGCATGGAACTATATGGTTATTGCTCCGTGATGTCATTTGATATTTTCATCTCATTGATCCAGGCCACAAATCCCAGGGTATAGGGAAGAAGAGAACGAATGGGGTAGAAAAGGGGTGGATATGGATATATATATATATATGGTGATAATGCTCCAAAACTGCATTCTACTGCGTTTCTCTCCCGGCAGAAAGAATGCAACGCGGGGAGACGGGATGTCGAAGGGACAGCTCTCATTTGGTGTTTTGGTGTATCAAGGCATTACGCACGGATCCTGCAATGGGCACGCTGCACAATACCCTTGTCGCTTCTAGCGATTCTCGGCCTCATACATAATGACCTGTACGGGAGTCGAATAACAAGCCTCCCTGGTGGTTCCAAATTCGAGCCTCAATGCCCCAGCCGCTTCTCTGGTGAAGTATGCGTGCTGAGACAGGGAAACATTTTAACAGTTAGCAGCGCACACACGCACGTTTCCAGGACGAAAATCAACGAGTGGGACGACACTAAGTATTCGAAGAGTTTTGAATTCTCGTAGATTGTCTTCATTCGCCCTTGCTCCGATCGAGGGAAAACACTTCGAAGTGTCACAGAGGATCTCTCCGGCAGCATCTCTAGTACGCGCCATGGCCAATAGCATTTCCACACTCTCAGCCCGGCTGCTGTTTTGAGCCACTCGCATTTGCACCGAAGCCCAACTGGCCGGGGTCTCAAGAGTTGCGACAGCGCCCATGCTTTTTCGCCCATTCATGGGTGGGGCGATTGCGTTCCCAGGAGTTACAGAGAACTTCGACTGTTTCTTGCACTGGCATAAAAAGTCAAATAGTACAGTGAGCTTGGCCAGAGAACGATGGTGCGACGTCGCACTCCCCAGCTGGACCATTGACTGAATCGATGCGCACGCATGATCCATCCCTTGTGAAAAGTGACTCCAGCCAAACGTGCGACTCTTCATTTGGTAGGTAGTCCAGCAAACAATATGATCCATTGGATGCGTGGCCTGGGATCATTGCAAACATTATCGAGCGCAAGATATTGTGGCCGAACTCTTTTTGTCAAGGCGTGACATGGGAACTAATATCCCTTGCGACGAATCCCAAGCTGAAATACAGCGATAAAAGCCGCAGATGGATAGGGTGGGAAGGAAGTTGTTGGGCAAAGGACATCCACGGCCACAAATATATCCATCCAACTACCTCTTCTTGTTTGTCCTTGCACTCCGTTTAGCATCGGCGGAAATTCCATCCAGGCCATCCTCTGTGTTTTCTTGCTAGCATCCTGTTTTGAGAATCAACAGGCATTCTGGGCTAGATCCAAGTACCGTTTTCATTTACACAGAGAAAGTGCAGAGCAGAATTTTGGCACCTCATTGCTCGACCCATGTCCGTGCATCAGGGACTTTTAAATCGAGCACAAGTTTCAAATGGGCATGGGAAAAATCTATCTACAAAAATCCAAATAGATGTATTCTTGATAGTACCAATTGAATTACATAACATACAACTAACTAATTAGTTAACTAACCAACTTAACATGAACTAACATGCTTAAGTCTGGCGGCAAAATCGATGAATGCGTATATCCAATCCTCCACGCAAATTGGATGTGATATGTTAACTCCAGTTCCATATAAGCCATTTAATCCCAGTTCCGAGAGCCAAAGAGCAAAAAGAGAGAAAGAAAAAGAAAAACAAGATGAGAGGATTGATTCCAAATTTTTAGGGAAAAAGAGCCCGACCGCAGGCTAAGAAGAAAAGAAACTCTTCTTCTTCTTGCCCATGGCCGTGATAGAATGTCCTTCCAAATACAAAAAATGAAAAGTAAAATCACGAGGCACTCGCATGCCAGTTTCTTTTCTTGTCTTTCCTGTTGAATATTTCCTTTTTCCCAAGTCGAAATTGTACATCGTTTCCCCCAACCCTTATAGTGATATAAAAAAGAAAAGAAAACCAAAAGGTTGACCACCCCTCCAAAAAATAGACGGCTTTGTTGTGTCAAAGGGATATCTGAAAAAGTGAAAAATGGGCAGAAAAGTTTTGTACACATTAAAGAAGAAGTCCAGCAAACAATATATAGGCGAATGCGGATAAAATTTGAACAGAACAGAAGATCATGGTCGTCAAGTCGTAGCACATAAATCGGAGGGTGTTTGGAAGCGAACATAGCTGAAACCCTTTTCATGTCAAAAATATCAGCCCTGAGAAGTGACCGTCTTAGATTTGGAGCTGTGAGTCCACGAAAGGAAATCGAATTTCTCCTTGGGGGTTTCACGAGCCAAAGCTGAGTTGGTCTCTCGGGCGCTGCTGCGCTGGAGAGATTGCTCTCTGGGTTCCAAGGCCAGGGAACGTCGATAGTAATTCTGAAAACTTTTGTCTCCTGCAGAACGGACGCGAATGAGCTGATCCTGTATCCAGGTCTGTAGCTCGGGGACCTCAGTGAGTCGGTATGGTATCTGGAAACGCTGGAGTTCACTAATGATCTTCGCTGTTTTCATATGCTTATCAAAATTGATGACTAATTTGCTTCCATCACCAGTCGGTAGAGCTCGTGTGTCTTGATTTCCGTGATCCACGAAGGTCAGGTCGGTTAAGTAGGTTCCGACAAACGGTAGGCATGGAGGAACGTGGCCCTGTAATCGTTGTCGAAGAACAGCATAATTTCTAGAAACATCCACAATTTCCCTCAATTGTTCCAGCAAAATCTTCGTCTTGTGTGACACTAGTTCCCAAGTGCGTCTTAGCCGGGAAATAGTAGAGGAATTAAGGGAACAGATAATCGCCATTAGAGAGTCATAATTATTCAATTCCAAGCATTTGGAAGCGACCTTGACCCATTGCTTTACGACAACAGCTCTCTTTTTGGGCTCCTCTTGTTGTAAAATACAATCAGCCACAAGATTAGCCAGGTCTGTTGACAAGGTCGACATAGCTCGGACATTGACTGCAAGAGACCCAGATTTTTTCATCCACTCGGTGCCTAGCAGCTCCTCCGGTAGAATAGAGCAAAATATTCTAGATTCCTTGAGCGTGAACTGCCGTGCCAGTTCCAAGGCATCAAAGTCGAGTATGGTGATAGGCTGACCTCCACCCCTCCATTGTTTCAATAGGTTCAGTTGGCTCTTAGATATGATTGGTGTGGGAAGAGGAACGTCAGGGCTAACGTACTGGCCAACAGCCGTATTAGTTTTGCCCATCGAAGACACAAGTCGCGGAACCACTGGGCCGTGCAACGTGGATACTTTCTCCGCAAGGTCCTCCAGGCGTGTCGCTGCTGAGGATAAGGTGCGCGTTAATGTTGTCCGAGCAAACTTCAGGATTGATGGCAGAGCGACGTCATCACAGTCATGGCGCCAATGCGATTCTAACCAGCCTTTAAAGATATTGTAAACCCGAAGACGGACGGGTCCAGCGGCTTCGGTATTGTCCCCAATATAATCATAGCGGTCCATCAGCGCCTCAGCAAAGTCCGTAGGAGTAGCAAAGTGTCGGAAAGTAAGGTAAAAAGTGGACACAAACAGCGCGTCAAGTGTGGATTGATGGGCAGTCAACTTTTCAATGAGAGCTCGGAGGCTTCCTCCGATTACCTGACCATCCTTGAACATGAGCTCCTGTGCATAGGTCTTTTCCAACAGATTCTCGCCCTCGTCACCTTCTTCGATTAGAGGTGATTGACAACCGTGAAAGCTGCTCTGAGCAACCACGGGAGGTCATGGTTTGTTGAAATCGGGACTATTAACACGAGTGGAGGTCTGCGAAACAGTACTCGCCTCCGAATCT